CACCACACACCAAAGGACCCTGGAGGAGTTACGCCCACCTGCGTACCAGATAATAGAGGTGGCCCTTGAACCTGCCCCAGGCCCTCTTGGTCATAGTCCGAGAGCCCTGGGGGTAGTAAGCCTGCCAAACTTGGTTAGAATATAAATTCTGAAAGGGCCTTGTAAGTGGCTTCTAGCCCATCCGCAGCCAGAGCCCAGGCGTGAGACACTGCCGTCTGCACCCCTGGGGATCCTGAAAGGGTCTAACACCAGGGTCCTTGTGCCAGCAGGACTGTTCATGAACTGCAGTTGGGAGGGGCTGGAGCCAAGAACTGGGCCCTTTCTGAACTTCTGGGGTTACAGATAGGAGAGTCTTCTGGGGGGACCACGGCCCTGAAGCCTGCTGGCAGACTATAGCTGTAAGGAAGCTGGAACCAGGTACAGGGTCCCTTCAGTCCCTGGTGGCATGGATGGGAATGTATCCCATCTGGTCCCTGTGCCAGCAGACCTGCCCTCTGTGCTGCAGCTAAGAGGGAGGGACCCAAAAAGAGGCAGGCTAGCTGTGCCCTGGGAGACCCGCAGGGCCCTCCACTTGGCTCCAACCCTGTCACAGCTGGTGTCTGCCAGCAGACCTGCCAGTCCAGGAGATACTCCTGTTTGCCCTCTCGGAGATCTTGAAAGGGCCTCACGCTTAGCTCCAGCCCTTTCCAGCCAAAGTCCATGAGTAGTGCCCCTGGCCTAGTGAGCCAATGGGGTCCACTGTCTGTGTACCCCGAGAGATCCTGAAAAGGCCTGATACCAGCCCCTAGCAGCCGCAGCTGCAAGCAGTCCAGTTGGCACAGGGACCGGGTGGGAAACACTCACATCCATGTCTTAGTAGATCCTGAAAGGGACCCATAATAGGCTCCAGCCCCTCCATCCACAGTCAAGGACTGGTCCAGCCACCCAGGGACCTGGTGGGAGGTAAACCCATCTGTGGCTCCAGAGCCAGGTCTGCAGACAGCAGTCTTGGTTGTGGAACCTGAAACAACCCTGGGTTCAGATCCAGCCCCTCTCAGTCACAAGCTGGGGTTGGTCCTGTCCACCCAGGGACCCATCCAGTGACCAGGAAGCAGCGCTCCCAGAGAAGTGGTGAGAGTCATGCCTACCACACAACAGGGTTGCTGAGGGCCCAACTGTGAAACTTGCAGTGGACTCTTATCCCACAGCCACCCTCCTGAACAAGGTGCCGGCAGCAGTCCCGTCCACCCAGGGACTAGACAGGACTCCCGCCTGCCCAAGCCTTTGGCAGCAAGTTTACCAACTGTGAACCCTAGAGCAGAATGAACAACAGCCTCGTAACTGGCTCCCACACAACGTGACTGAATTCCGGAAGTAATTCCATCAGCCTAGGAAACAGACAGGAAAAGGTTTTTACCTGCCAAAATCAGTGTGTAAAGACCGGAAACAGTTTTTGCACCTTCAAACACACAGATACCAATGCAAGGCTACAGGGATCACAAAGAATTAGGCAAATATGACACCATCAAAGGAAACTACAAAAAGCTCCAGGAACTGGCCAGCAAATAAATAGATTTCTACAATTTGCCTGACAAAGAATTCACACTGATCATCTTAAAGAAACTGAGTAAACTGCAAGAGAACACAACTGGACAATTAAACAAAATCCGAAAAGCAATGGATGAACAAAATGAATTTAATTAAGAAATAGCAGCCATAAAAAAGAACAGCCAGAAATCGTGGAGCTAAAGAATACAATGACAGAACTGAAGAATTCAGTACAGAGCTTCAACAACAGACATCTTGCAGAATAATCAGCTAACTCAAAGATAGATCATTTGAAGTTAGCCAGTTAGAGGGACAACAAATTATTTAAAAAGTGAAGAAAGCCTGTGAATTATGGGACAACATGCATCTACATCAAGGGAGTTCCAAAAGGAGAATAAATGGAGAAAGGGGCAGAAAGATGATTTAAAGTAATAATGGTTGAAAACTTCCCAAATCTTGGGAGAGATATGTACCTCCAGTTACAGGAAGCTCAAAGGACTCCAAGCAAGATCAACTCAAAGGTTACTCCAAGACACATTTCAATCAAAATTTTAAAAGCCAAAAACAAAAAGATTTTGGAAGATCATATATTCTCTTACAGAAAAGCATGCTGTAACAGGAGTAATTATAACATAATATAATCAAGCTCAATTTTTAAAATGCTATGTATGGTTCTAGACCCTGAAGAGACAAACAGACCAATGAAATAGTCAAAAACCAGTCTCATATATATGGGAATACCGAATTTGCTAAATGTAGCATGTCAAACCTATGGAGTAAAACTATTTATTTCATTTTTTTTTTTCTTAGACTCTCCTCGTTAAGTCATCAGCTCAGGACAACTGAATTCAACTTTATTCTGATTAAATCTGGCCAAGTGAACTGGCTTCTTTCTTATCCTCAAAGTGAACATAGGCTGTTTTAATAAGAAAGCTTGGTTGGTACTGTACTTAGAACACAAGGTGTGTTTACCTATGTATATGTAAGTATTATACATATTATTTAAAAGGGAAGTCCTGGCTAATGGGGCCCTTCTCTCAGTGCTGTGAGGTACATGAGTATAAACACAACACACAGAAAAAAAGTCCCTTGGCTCTGGAAAGAAAATCAATTCCAAACAGCAAGTGTTGGTAGTGGTAGTGTGGTGATAACAACCCATCATTATGATTCAAGAACACGCAGGTTTCCATCATTAAAACACTATTTAAAAAAACCCAACTTGTTTATAATATTCATTTGTGGAGAAGCTTGAGGCATGAGAGGAGTAACTAATTTGTAGCTGTGCAATCTCGTGTTCTTCTGTAATTACCAGATGGGACTTTTGCCAGTGACTTTATGTTTTAACAGGTCTGGATTTGTATGCATACGTCTCGGGAAGTTGCTGGTGTTGGTGGCTGTAAATTTCACCTTAGTGTTTGATGTAGGATGGCATCCGGGTACTGCACTGTGTCTCCTTAGGAGCTTGCTCTTAATAGGAACTGGCTGAGTTTCACCCCTGCGTATAAGCATGAGAGAATGTGATTCTAGAAGATGACAACATTCTAAAAACAATTTCACTCTGCCTTCATTTTCCCTACCCTGTCTAAATGGACATTACTGAAAATGAATCACAGCTAACTGATTTACTTAGTCCTTTAATACTTGGTTACCAAAACTTGCAGTTTTATGAATTTCTGACATTTTTTTCTTACTTCCAAACCCCTTATCCTTCTCTTTCTTTTAATGCCTTCTCTCGGCTTCCCTTCCCTTTTCTTCCTGAAGAGTGACAGGTGGCTCTCTAAACTCTTTCAGTTACTACACTTACCAGCACCTTTCATGTCTCCATTTTTTGGTTCCACACTATTTCTTTTGCCTGGATATTTTCGCCAACTTTGTTTCGTGGATAACTTGTATATGTACATTTGACTCTTGCAACACACAGGTTTGAATGGTGTGGGTCCACTTATATGTGGATTTTTTTTTCAATAAATATATCGTAAAAATTTTTGGAGATTTGTCTCAATTTGGAAAAACTTGTAAAGAAAAGACATAGCCTGGAAATATCAAATTAAGTAAAAATTAGGTATGTCATGAATGGATAAAACATAGGTAGATACTAGTCTATCCTTACACAGGCATAAGGTGAGCAATATTTCATGTAAAATTAATAATGCGTTAGTTTTCTTACCATTTTATAACTTTTTTTTCAAAGAATTACATTACAGTATGATATACCTCTCTCTCTCATTGAAGAAACTATGAGTCAGCCTATCATTTTGGGCAAGTGGTTTCTTAAAAAAATGCAATGTTGTTTCCAATACTGTTTTATAAATACACCTGTAACACCATATAGCATACAAGTTTTATAACTATTCATTCTTTAGTGTATAGGCCAGGCTACCGGGAAACACTCTTATCAATTACACCAGGCTACCAGAAAGCAATCATATTGCTGCTTCTTCGTTATCAGTGCATGAATTTTTATATCTGTAAAGAAATACAAATTTCTTTCACACGATCTTTTCATTTTTGATGTCAGTGTTATTAATACGTATAAACTCTACAGTGTTTTGTATCATATAAGACAATATTGATGTAGGTATTGACAGACAATTCATCTTATGATATGAACTTACGGTGTGGATAAATACAGTGCAGTACTGTAATTGCCTTTTCTCTTCCTTACGATTTTCTTAATAGCATTTTCTTTTCTCTAGTTTACTTTATGTAAGAATACAGTATATAATGCATTTAATATACAAAATATGTGTTAAGAGACTGTTAATGTTATTGCCTGGGCTTCTGGTCAACACGTAGGCTATGAGTAGTTAAGTTTTGGAAGAGTCAAAAGTTACACATGGATTTTTGACTGCGTGAACAGTCAGCATCTCTAACCCCCCGTGTTAAGGGTCAATTGTGTTCTTCAAGATTCAGCTCAGAAACCATCAAATGGACTAACGTGTGTCAAGTTTTATGTCCAGCTTGTCTGTAAATATTTGTTCATAAAGAAATAAAAGCAAAAATAAAGCGAGTCTTCATTTTCTAAATGAAGTCTTTAATTTCCAAAATTTTCTCCTTCTTATATCTTCATTCCAACAGCTCAAAAACACAATATGTATCTCAGTCCTCTAATATACTCTAAGCAGGTAATAGTAAGGGCTAAGCAGTCCGACTTTGCCTCTCTGGGTGCAGATCCTGGCTCCACCCACTAAATAGCTGTGCAAACTTGTTTTCCCTCGTGGTTCAGTATTTTCATCCTTACAGCCATGAATGTAACACTATCTCTTGCATAGGGTATTGTGGGAAAATAAGACCATGCATACGGTGTTTAAAACAGCAACGTTAGCACTGTAAAAATAGTAGCTATTATGGTGAACAGGTGCTTGTTTTTTATATCACATTCACTGATTCGTCAACTCTGCAATCCAGCTGTCTCCTGAGGTCTCTCCTAAAATCACAAACTTTTCCCGTTATCGCAAGAAAGACTGCCCGAATGTGACAGAACGTGAAAATTATGCTTTTTATTATAGTCACATAAAATAGTCAGTTACAACGAGTTGTCCGAATGCATTGGTGAATTAAAGCCTCCAGCTCTTACACATTTTTACACATATATCTATGCATTTATAAATACGCACGTATGTAAAAGATATATATTTTCTTCTAAAATAAAGTGCCCAAATCTTGATATATGGGGGCATAACAGGGAAAAAAAAAGAATCATAATGCTTTATCAGTTATTGACTGTACTTTCACAATAAAAGAATCTGTTTTGTACACATTTATTCAGGTATAGTGAACTTTAATCACTCATTCTTTTCTGAATTCTCCTAAGTGAATTAATTAATCCAAAATATTAGAAGCCTCAGAGCCAACCTAATGAATCACAGGCTAATTCTTCTTACTGTGCCTCGAACAGAGCCTGGGCTTCCCAACAGAAGGGTTGTTAAGCTTCATTCTTAATGCTCCTGTATTTTGGAATGTTGTCTTTCTGCTAAAATGATTAAGTAGGGAGAGAAATGAATGAGACACCTCTGATTCTAAATCCTCAGGGTTTGGTGAAAAGTTTCCTATTGTCTTTCCATCACCCTGGGCTGGGTGAGAAGTGGCCTAGCAGGAGCTGAATTGAGGGGCCCCTGCTGTCTCTGTAATAATTGAATTTTATTGGAGCCACAGAAGAACAATTAGGGTGTAGTAATCAATAGATCATGGAGAGAACCAGCTCAACCTGAAATGAAACTCTCTAGGACCATGGAAAACTTTGTGAGAACATATTTGAATTTAAGAACCAGACAAGGGTTTAAAAAAAAAGCAACTAGATGATTTAAGATAATTCAGAAAATCTTCTCTTCAAATAGGAACTAAGACTCTATTCCCTGGTCCTACCTCTCAGCCATTCTTCCCGTGTTTTCACTGTATTTTCTATCATCTTAGACTTCTAAGGTGATCATTTGTAGACTTTGACAAGGAATGGAATTTTAAAATGCCTTTGAAAAGACTTTAACCTACTGAAGCAAGGTGAAGGTGCCTAAAAATAGCTTTACGAACCCAGCCATTTCAGAATCTGGTGATTACATATTCAAACTGCAGTAAAGAGCATTTTATTCAAGCAGGAAAAGGAGAGATTGTCAGGACTGAAACGGCATTAAAACACTCGATAACTTCCCAACATATGGGAGGCTGGGACCCATGGGAAGCCCAGACGTTGCCCAGAGTCAGAACGAGGAATGGAGTATTTTATTTGGGGGGAGAAACAAAAAGCAAGAAAATGTTTCCGATGACCTGACCCACCTGCGCAGGGCCTTCCCAAGAACAGAGCTGCCTAGCTGCTGATTTTGGTGAGCATTTTATTAATGGCTTGCTTGACGTGGGTGGTGGAGCTGCGTCGCCTCGTCTTGCCCTGGACCATCCTCCGGCGCCGCACCTCTCGACACAGCTCGTAGAATATCTCGGTGATGTTCCCTTCTCCGGTGCAGGCAGAACACTCGTAAAAAGCACAGGCCAATTCTGTGGCCAGCTTCTCCCCTTCCTCTGTACTAACCTGTCTGGAGTGGTCCAAGTCAGCCTTGTTTCCAACCAAGATGAGAGTCACATTCTTGGGCTTTTTGATCTCATCCAGGATGTTCTTAAGTGGCAGGACTTCCTCAAAACTTCCCCGGTCAGTAATGTCATAGACCAGCACAAAGCCTTCTCCCCATCGCATGTGTCCTTCCTTCTGAATGGTGTCTTCCTATCAGCAAGGAAAAAACAGCAGTCAGAAGACCTGGAAGTAACTGCAACATGTGGACGCTGCAAATGCTTACCGAGATCCCTTAATTACTAGTCCTTATAATTCAATGTCATTAAAGTCTCTTGGCAGTCTGCCTGTATAAGCTTACCTTCTCAGTTTGGAATAGAAGCATTACTTAGGGAACTAAAAATTGTCTAACTGCCTAGACACTAAGTTTCAGCTTCTAATTTTTTCTTGCCACATCATGAAATCGGTAATCCCCAGAACTGTAAATAAATTATCCTCTTAGTTGAGCACATTGGCTCTGAGACTTTTATCACGATTAAAGAATTGGCAAATAGGTAGCAGACAAGTAGACCCTACCCCACCCTTTGGAGATCAGAATCAGAGGCACAGCTTACTGAAACTGTTTTGATTTTGATTTGATTTCTGTTTTTTAATCTTCTCTCTTCAGATTAGAGATAATTAGCCACCAGGGCAGAAAATAAAACGTGAAAAATCGTATGGAGAGTCAAACTCAACGCCAGGGGATTTGGCCTTTTTTTCCTTTTATCTCAACAGCCCAAATATTATGCAGTCATCCTAACGAGAGAAACTCATTTGAAGTAATTCTCAGATACGGTGATGAGTCCTTCCTAAGAAGGTAGCATGAGTGATTTGAAAATGCATCGTCTTTATGGGTTCAAGTAACTTCTGCCGGCTTGTACTTCCCTGTGGCCTCTCTCTTTGGAATCAGTGTTGGGTGGAAGGTGAGAGCATATACAGGAAGCAGGCAGTGATGAGAAGGGAAAGTGTATAATTAGCTACAAGAATATTTCTTGGATTATATACTTTAATTCAAATCTTCTTGGGATCCTAAGTCACTGAAAAGTACCATGAAATCATTCAGCTTCCTAACTCTCATTCTTAGTCGTCACGCCCATCCTTGGGAACCACACCTATCTACAAATCTGTTTATGATTTCCAAACTGACCAGCTGCAAAGCAAATTCATATTAGCTTCTTTTTTAAGTAAGTTGCAATTGTTCAATGACGTGGCTCAAATTTTCAGTCAGATCTGGTGAGGCTTGGAAAGGATATTACAGGAGAGAGTCCTAAAAATATTCTGAAAAAAGATTCTGAGGTCATATAAGTTTAGAATATAATATATAGTAAATTTCTTAAAGATTCACCTTATACATAAGCATATAAAAAGGCTCTGAGAACTTCTCTGGTAAAAACATCTGTTTAACTTGATCAGAGCGTTCCAACACACATTAAACCATACAAGCCTATTAATATCTTGTGATCTTCCCAAATATAGGTGGGCAATTTCATTCTAGATGATATCATGTGAATCTTATGGCATTTTCAAAACCCTCTCGGAGTACTGGGTAATTCACATAAGGAAGCATACACAGGCTGCTGCAAATAGGTTAATACATAAAATGACTAGATAGTTAAGTAAAAAAAGACTTTAGGCATCATTAGTTAACTGTAGGACAATGTCTTAATTTTGTTCGTACTATGTGTGTTTCATTTTTGTTTGACCCAAGCTATATTTTAGCTGGATTCCTTATTCACCTGACCAGCAGTATCTAGTATCTCCATGGTGACAGCTTCATCATCAATGGTCGCTTGGTGTCGGTAGGTTGATTCTGAGGGAACGAGCGAAAAAAAAGGTAAAAAATAAGTGCATGATTTAATTTGACCCTTAAAATTACAGATTAGTCACAAGAGTATATCTGTTTTTAGAGCATATGGGAATGGTCATTTTAGGAAAGAGAGGGAGGAGGTGGAAGAATCTGTGCCAGCTCTGTACCCTGGGAGCTCCTGGAAGTGACAGGTCCTAATACAAGAGCCGCAGGTGTCTGGGATGTAGCATGGGAGAGTCTCTTTGCCTCTTACTTTATTCTCCTATGAGGCCAGCTTCCTGATGTTCTCTTCCTGCTAAAGTGGGGCCTCCACATCCTAAAATGAGGGAGTGACTCCCACCAAGTGTGTTCTACCTTGATACCCCAGAAAATCCAGCTCCTGGAACCATGTTAATTCCTGCTCCTAACAAGACAGCATATAGACGAGCTACTCACTTCCAGACCTCAGCCCTAGAAATGTGATAAACACTAGAGGGAAGTGGAGACTCTCCGTGTGAAGCATGACCGTGTCAAGCTATGGGGAACCTGGGGGGCAGTAGAAGGTGGTTGGACCCTACTGTTTGGGGGTTGGGGGAGGAACAGTTACCCAAAGTAGAGGAGGTCTGGGCAGCATGGAGGGGAGAAAGGACAAAGCAGAGTTCTCTTGTTCATGTTGTCTCTTCAAGGTAGAAGAGTGCCAGCAGCTCAGTACGAGCTGGAGGCTGGTAGGTTAACATCGCAGTGGTCCCCAAGCTCTGCTGGGGTAAGAAGTCAGCAGGGATAAGAGACTTGGTGGCTCTGGGCATGTCCCTGACCACATGAAATGGAAACCAGAGGTTAAAATAAATGCCAACTGGTGCTGCTCTAGATGGAAACTAGAACAACTGACATAAAGCGCTCGATAAATGATTGACTGCTTTGATGAAGTTTAGGTTGAAGGAGTCTCCCAGAAAAGTTCCAGGAAATGGTAAGAAGGAAAACGTGACAATAAAATGTAAGAGGTATGGATGACAGAAATAGTCATGCTACTTTCTCTTATAAAATGAACTTCAAAGAGAGAATAAAATACATAGAGGGGTAGAAAATATTTGAGGCTGTAATGACTGAGAATGCCCCAGGGTGAGAGGCATTGAACAACATCAGATCAGAAGGACTAGCAGGACACACAAGGAAAGAAGTCCCGTACCTCAACCTGTGACAGCAAAGTTTAAGGATATTAATGGCAAAGAGGAAAACTTGGAAGGATCTAGAGGAAAAAAGCACATCTCCTACAAAAGCATGTGACTCAGATCGACACAGGACTTCTCAGCACCTAAACCGAATTCAAGATCTTAATGGAGTCAAGAAAAGCAACAAAACTACAGCAAAATCAATCTAGAATTACAATTCTAGGTGATACCAAAGTGCCAGGGTGGAGGTGGGGAAGAGGCCAGAGGCAGGTTTGAGGGAGCTAATGTATTTGTCTTATTGCAAATGATGATGTAATAAAAAGAACAGAAAAAAGTGAGTAAAATATTCAATTCAACAAATTACACGAGGAGGGGGAGGGTGTAGCTCAGTGGTAGAGCACAGGCCTAGCATGCACAAGGTCAGGGGGGGTTCAATCCCCAGTAGCTCCACTAAAAAAACTCAAAAAACAAAAAGTAATGAATAAGAGAAAAAAAATTAGAAGAGGAAAACTGAATAAATCCAAGAAGATATAAGGAAAGAAGTAAAAGAGAAAACAGCAGAAAAAATTAGGTAAGGTTAACAAAACCAAAGCATGGGGCTTGAAAAATTAAAAAAACACACAAAACAAGTAGGGAGGGTGGGAGAGGTAAGAATCTGGCAATATTGACTAGTAAATTAAGAGAGAAGGTGTGATCAAGCAAAATTTAGCATAAAAAGAGGAAATAATTACACATTCTGATGAAATAAAAATAAAATAATATTATGAACTGTATACCAAACAAATTTCACACCCTGATAAATTCTGGAGGGAAAAAAAATGAAGAGACTGATACAATGAGAAATAGAACACTTAACTAGATCAATAGCCAGTAAAGAAATGTAAATGCTAATTGTAGATTTCTCTTTATCATAAAAAACTACACTCAATTGGCTTAATAGAAGATTTCTGTTAAACATTAAATAAGATGTTACAGGAAATTAAAAAAAAAAAGGACTAGCTACCCAATCCCTTTTGTGGGGCATTGCATGAACTCCAACGAGAAGTATTACAAAAGTAATAAGAAGAGAAAAAGAAAAACATCATAGCTCATTTCAGTCTTGAACACAGATTCAAAAATTCTAAAAAAAAAAATAACCAATATATTTTTTCAAAAAATATATAATAGCTAGCAATACTACTTAACATCTGAACAAAAATTGTTCTTAAAATGCCTTCCTTTTTAAAAGGACTGGCATCAGCCCTGGAGCCTGGAAAACAGAGTTCTGGGCTCCAGTCCATCTCTTTGCACCAAAAGTTGTCTGACAGACAGGGACATTTTTCTCAGTTGCTTCCATGATGAATAGGATATGTATTTCAACCACAGAAAGCCACAGGAGGGGGGAAATAAAATATAATGAAAATAGTATGAAGTTGTGTGATTCTTTGGCCGTTTGTTAACTGAAATGAAAATGATGAAAGGCAGGAAATGAGGGAATGTTGGCCACAGACAGAGCAGCGGGTGGCAGCGGTGATTGGTCCAAGCTGAATATGGGGTTTCATGCCATGTCAACTATTTTTTTCTTTAAGTCTCTTCTCTTTTGCATTAGGAACCCATGTCTACATGTGAAACAGTGGACGTGTTGCTGACAGAGGCGAGCTGTTGTACATCCACGTGCTAGCTTTTCCGAAGAGAATTTTAACACAATGTACTGAGTACTTTTGGAATTAAACTCTACTGCTGATTCCAAAACATAAGGAAAAAACATGTATGTGCTTAGAGGGCGGAAGCACTTTTCTTTTTGTTCATGCTCACAGAAAATGATGATTTTGACTCTTTTTTCTTGAAGAGTAGGGGGGATGGTTGTTTAAGAGATACTTCTAATTGAACCGAAATATTGTATACTGTAAAATCAATATTCATTTCAAAATGGAATTAGGCGTGTTCAATTATCCACGTAAAGTTCACTGGATAAGAGAGATGCATGTTTCAGTGCCACTTTATGAGGAGAAGCACATTTTGTATACTAAGAGAAGTTGATGCTCAAAGGGATATTGTATCTGATTAATCCTTCTACTAATGTAGCTCTTTTGCAAATTTCAGGGTATTAATACGGACTTTTGGCTAGCACAGTAACGACAACAGTTAGTAATGCTGATTTACGCTAGAGTGGAAATTGTACTGACTTGAATTCTAGTGCTGGTCTAACCACAAACTAGCCACGTAACCTGGGATAAATTTACTTCATTGGATTTATTTCTTTATTTGCCAAATGACGATCTCAAAGTTCCTTGCTGTGACGATATTAAATAGTTCTGGTAGTTGGCTAAGCACCTCTGCTTTAGTATCCAGTTGAGAAAATGTGTTCTGGGTGTGTCTCTCTCTTAGGGTGAGCCTTTCCCAGCAGAGGGAACTGTAATGCAGGAAGGAAGAAACAATCACAAAATTGAAGTGCCAGTGGATCCAGTGTGTCTCCCAGTTCCTACCCTCACTCCGGTCTGAGCCTTTACTAACCAAACGGAGACACCATAACCCATTCAAACAGAGCCAGGTGCCCCCCAAGTAGGAGTGGCAGTGACAAGTGCTGAGATACAGTCCCTCTCTTCCTCTCCAAATGCCCCCAGCGCACACTCATCGGCGCAGGCACACAAGCACACACAAGCACACAACTGGACACAATATAAGCCTTATTTGTGTTCTCTGCCATGATCATCAGCATTTTCAGAGGATAACTAACATGACTCTTGGAGGTAGAGATTCAGTTTTGTTTTTGGGAATCTAATCAGAACATGGGCAGCTGTCATTCTACAACCAGAACATTGCTGCCACCACCATCAGTCACAGGGTTTTCCTGGTTCGATGGTCCAAGTCCAAAACCCTACAGGGCTTCAGTGGCAGTTTTCAAATGCAATTCACAGGCCAGCTCTGGCCTCTGACAAAGATTTCACTGGTCCACAGCAAAATGAGAAACATGTAAGGAGAACTAAAACTGTCCATGAGAAAGATTGAACTTTTTTCTTAGATTATATCCTTCAAAACATATGGATGTTAAAAATACTTCCTTCTTTTATGAAATGTTAAGTGCCAGCAGAATGTGAGTGTAATTCTCCCTCGCCCTCTGAGCCTGGCATCTGAACTGGAATTTCTATGATAGTTCCTCTTCTTAAAAAGACAGAAAACACCAAAATCTAAAAGTTTGGGAAACACTTGCTAGCAAGAATTTTCTTTACAGAATTATTTCAGAGTAATAGATATTCCGATATTGTTAATATGCTGAATGGTGTTCACCATCTCCAGCTTCCTATGGAGCAATAATTCTGTTACAGGTTGATACATGGCACCATGATTTTGAGGAAGGCTCTGAATTCAGAATTCAAAACTAACACTTTTTTGGCAAATACACCACTTTGCTTTCTCAGGTAGTTTTCCTCTCTGGTGGTGGTGTTGCAACTGTAATAGTACGAAGTTAAGCCTAGGAAATGTCTGGTTCACCTTGAATCAAATGGATTGGGAATTCGTGTAAGCTAGAACTTGCGTGACTTCTAGTAACACGTGCACGCGCACACGCAGGTATCCAGTATCCAGGGTGAATAAATGCAAACCTCCCCCGAGAGTGAGTCATAGACCTGCTACCCCTGAAGTCTGATGAGCACTCTTGTTGCTCAGCAGCTGCAATTCTTTTTTGAGCAGCACCGTACAAGGTCATGCAATAATGTTTCATCGTGCTCAGTGCAAGAAGCCTGCGTTACAAGTAACTGATGCAGGAGATTTCTATTATTAGCAGTTGCTTTTCAGAATGAACAAAACAAAAGGGAAAGTGGTTCACGTAAGACTAATCAAAAAGTAACGTTAGTTACTGGAACATATTCAGAGAGA